TGGTTATGGGCCCAGCAGTGTGCACAGTCTAGCTAACCAGGTTTTAGCAGTGAGAGTTTTGGTCAAGAGTTACACATTGCTGTAAAGACAAACTGTTTGTTAAATAGTTATTTTTCTGCAGAGAAATGGCACAAGTAAATTTGCCAAGTCTGTCCATGATAGCCAGACTAGATGGAACAAACTATGTTTCATGGTCACTGAAGTGTAGTTTACTGCTACGAAGAGAAGGTTTGTGGGACATAATTACAAACCCACCAGATGTATCAAACTTAAATCCTAATGATGAAGAGGATTATAAACTGATACAGGATTATGAAAGAAAAAATGAGCAGGCTTTGTGCATCATAGGTCTCACCCTGTCTGACCAGCAACTGATACATATCCGTGGAGTGGAAAATGCTGCAGAATGCTGGGATAATCTTAAAAGGATTTATGTTCGAGACAGTGTAGGAGCTCATATCAATCTTACACGGAAGCTGTTTAGAACACATCTTGAGATAAATGGAGACATGTTGACTCATTTAAACTGTATGAAAAGCATTTTTCAACAACTGCAAGAAAAAGAGCTTGTATTTAATGAGTTGCAACAAGTATACATCATACTGTCTTCTCTGGATCGAAGCTATGATGATTTTGTGACTGCATTAGAGGTATTGCCAAAAGACAGTTTATCAGTAACTGAGATAACCGGCAGGCTATTAGAGGAAGCCAGGAGAAGAAGTGACCGTGAACAGCTGAGGGAAGATAAGAATAAGGAAGAGAAATTATCTTCAAAGCCTGAGAGAAACCAGCTGTGTAAAGGAAAGCACCCGGAAGAAGAGAAGTTATCTTCAACGGCATATACAATTAAAAAGTGTTTTAATTGTGGAGGCAGAGGACATTTGGCAAGATTCTGCAGAAAAGGAAAATGCCAGAATTTTAAGAAGCCAAAGAAATCCTTTGAACTGGCCATGCTTGGCAATTGTGATATGAAAAATAATAAGTGCACACTGAAAAGAGATGGCAAAAAGGTAACTGCAGCTTTAAATGGAGCATTATGTGTCTTACATGATAGTAAGAAAGGGGAGGCACAAACTGTATTTAATAATGACAAGCCTCATGATGAATGTATCCATTTATTGCATAGACGTTTGGGGCATGTAAACTTTAAAATGCTAAAACGTACAGTAGAGTTATCTGAAGGAATAAGGTTAAAGCCCTGTGATAAGTATTTGCGTTGTAATGTCTGTTGTGAAGATAAGAGTAAAATATTGCCTGCAAATAGGCTAAATGGTTTCAAAACTAAAGAACCTTTAGAAGTAGTATTTGCAGACATTATAGGTCCAAAGAAACCCAGTATGGGGGGTGCTCGATATATACTGAGCATTATGGACCATTACTCTAGATATGGGTTTTGCTACTTAATGAAAAGCAAAACTGAAACATATCAACATTTCTTCAATTGGTTAAAGTTTGCTGAAAGGAAAAGCAAACGGCAACTGATAACCTTGGTGACAGATAATGGCATGGAGTTTGTTAATAGCAAATTCCAGAATAGATTAAAGGCAGCTGGAATAGCTCATAAGAGATCTGCACCATACAGACCACAGCACAATGCATATATAGAGAGAAGAGGCCAAACATTGCAGGCGATGACCCGTACTATGTTAACTGATTCTGGGTTACCTGATTCTTTGTGGGGGGAGGCAACAATGTGTGCTAATAATTTATTAAATAATGTGGTTAACTCAACCACTGGTGAAATACCATTCACCATGTGGCATGGCAGGAAGCCTGATTTGAGTTACCTGCACACATTTGGTGCACCAGCATGGGTGCATATCCCTACACAACTCAGGCGTAAAGGGCAACATAGAGCTAAACAATTTTTCTTCGTTGGTTACCAAGCTAACCATAGGGCATATAGATTTTGGGAGAAAGGCACATCTAGAGTGTTATGTAGTGCCAATGCCCAATTTCTAGAGCACGTAGGATGGGATAAGTTAGAACAGGATAACAATAATGAGGTGATTATTGAATCATACAGAAATCCCATTAAGTATCCCTGTAACTTTAAAAATAATGTAAAGGAAGAAGTACAGGAAGAAGCACAGCCCCTAGAGGAAGAAATAGCTGAGGATGAGGAACAGGTAGTAACTCAACCAAGCCCAGTAATACCCAGAAGGACTACACGTATTTCTAAACCGCCTGATAGATACCAGGCTAATACAGTGTGCCAGGAAAATAGAATCCCAAATACTGTGGATGAGATTAAAAGGTATCCTTCTAAAGAGAAAGAAAAATGGTATGCAGCAATGAATAAAGAATTGAAGTATCTGAAGGATATGCAGGTATATGAAAATGTGAGATTACCTAGTAATGAAAAACCCATTGGCTGCAAATGGATTTTTAAAATAAAAACAGATAAGGATGGAAACACAATCCATAAGGCAAGACTAGTAGCCCAAGGCTTTAGACAAAGTGCAAAAGACTATGATGAAGTATTTGCACCTAGTCTGAAAGCAGCAACCTTAAGGGCAGCCTTAGTGTGGGCAGCAAGCAAGAAATATATAGTTAACCATTTAGATGTGGAAACTGCTTACTTGCATGCTCCACTAAGACATACTGTGTATATGAAAAGGCCTAATGGATTTAAAGGAGACAATAATAATGATAATGATTGTTGGTTATTAAAGAAGAGCCTTTATGGTCTTAAACAATCGGGCTATGAATGGAACCAGTATATTGTGAAGGAACTGACCAATATAGGGTTTAAAGCTGGTTTAGCTGACCCATGTCTATTTAAGAGAGAAAAGAATGGGAAGATATCATTATTATTGTTGTTTACTGATGATATTGCTCTGATAACTAAGACTAATGATGAAGCAAATGAAATAATTGCATCATTAGCCAAGAAAGTCAAAATCAAGCAATTAGGTGAGATAAAGAGATATCTAGGATTGAATATACTGAGAACACAGAAAGGGTTTAAGATATCTCAGGAAGATAAGATATCGAAATTGCTAGTAGATTATAAAATGGAACTTTGTAAGCCTGCAAAGACTCCAATGAGTCAGGATATTTGCAAAATGGATACACAAAGTCCCAAATGTGATAAGGAACTGTATCAATCTTTGATTGGTAGCTTATCATATATTAGCAATTGGTCAAGGCCAGATATTGCTTTTAGTATTAATCAGCTGGCTCGACACAATAATGACCCGCTTCAGTGCCACTGGATAGCATTGAAAAGAATCCTAAGATATCTTAAAGGTACATTACACCATGCACTGTATTTAGAACCAAAGGGTGATCTCATATTGAGTGCTTATGCAGATGCTAGTTTCGCAGCTGAAAAAGATACTAGAAAGTCGACTTCAGGAACAGCCATAATGCTGGGTAAGACATTAATAGGCTGGAAGTCTATAAGGCAACAGCACATAAGTTTGTCTACTATGGAGGCAGAATTCTCCTGTTTATCATTTTTGTGTACTGAGTTGATCATGTACAAACAAATGTTGAAGGATATGGGTATAACTGTAAATTACCCTGTAGTTGTACATGAAGATAATCAGGCAGCAATTCAAATGGCCACTAATATTGCAGTTAAAACAAGAAGTAAACATACAGATTTGAGGTATCTTAATGTAAGAGAATCTGTACAGAGTAAATTGATACAGCTGGAGTACTGCATGTCGGAGGACAATGTAGCTGATCATTTTACTAAAGCCCAAGGTGCTATTAAGCATCTAGAGAATTGTAAAAAATATGGGTTTAGAATGTAAAGGTTATATATTTATGTCACCCAAAAGGGGAGAATGTTGGGTATATCGATACTCCAACTGGTTTGGGTTGAATAAATATGTAAACCTAGGATTAAGTGCTATGTAGCTTTAAGCACAAGAAACTGCAATGTCATGTTAGTCATGTTACCACATTATGATGGGTCCCCACTTGTCTAGCCATGTGAGACCTAAGATGACTGACTGTCATTTTTGATGCCACTATAAATCGTATGAGCTCTCAGTGGTGGCCCATTTCCAGTCTCGCCAGCTCAGTGACTAGGGTGGCAGGGGCTCCGCCTATTAATATCCCATCGATTTGCATGAAGCGTATGGGGTGAGCCAGGGGTGTTGTGCTTATCCCTAGCTTCTGGACAGTGGGAAGGCTGATTAGGCATCTGGTGCACCTGGTGTCTATGATGGCCTCTAATATCCCCTTGGACTCCTGTTCTGGGCACCACTATCCACGATTTTATGGTAGATATTACCATTGGGTCGTCCTCACTGGCCTCACTGCTGCCACTGGTGGCAGCAGGAGGGGCTTCCGGGGCCGGAGTTGGCAGAGGGGGAGGAACCTCAACGGCTTGTTTTTTATAAAGTAATAAAGATGTGATAAAAATCTAAAAAAATAAATAAATGAACACATGATGTTAAAGGTATAAATGGCACTGAAAAGGCTCAGCCTAGGAGTTCCCCAATTCGACTTTATAACAGCTGTATAACATCCATGCTGTGGTCAGAATGCTCTGTTTCAACTTGGGAACATTTTTCCTGTATCTGGTACATTTTGGGTTGATTGTTTACTACGCATAATGGAAAAAGCTGTGGTCTTTGCTGGTGAATGGCTAGTTAATTTTTACTGACACAATAACAAAATTAACACTTTTATGTGTTTTGAAAAGTATTTGGATTGCTAGTTCTCTTCTTCATCATTCCATATATGTTTTAATAACACTTTAATTCTCACTGTTGCCACAGATTGTTTAGGGCTCTTCAAAATGTTCTGACTCCAGAATAAGCTATTCTGAATGTTTTGGAAGTGCTCTAATCTTCAAAACAGACCTATTTTAAGCCACTTCTGTAACACACAAAATGGGCCTGCTTGGGGGTTGGCATGTTTCATAATGGAACATTTTGCACATCCTTAATCCTGTGTATTTATGTCATCAAGACTTTCCCAATATATAATGTTTTTTTCAGAACTGCTAACTTTCAGTATACTTTTTTTTTCATTTCTAGCTGCAGGACAAATTCCAGCTACAGCCTTACTACCAACCATGACTCCAGATGGACTAGCCGTAACACCTACACCTGTGCCTGTAGTTGGCAGCCAAATGACGCGACAAGCTCGACGTCTCTATGTTGGCAATATCCCTTTTGGAATCACTGAGGTACTTGTTAGCTTACTCTGTCATCTCTGCTCAGCCTTGAAACTTTTGGCTGCAACAAGTGCTCAATTTCAGTGACGCCACCAGAAAAAGCAGCCTGGTTTAGTATTTGTTTCTTTTTTTATTTTTAAAGATAATGGGGTAATAATGGAAATGGGAGTGCCTCACTACTCAGAGGAATTCCATTTTCACTTCCAGTCTTATTTTGCCATTTTTTGATCAAAACCTACATATTTGACATTTTGTCATTGAATTTGAAAGGTTGCAAAGGGAACACTGGAAGTTTTAAGTTGGAGAGCCAACTGAACCTCATTAAATGCCACCATGCTCAAACTGTTATTATGACTTGACATCTTAATGACTCATATTTGATAGATACAAACTTTTGGAGTACTTTGGTGTTTTTCATCAATGAATCACATGAAATGAACTTTTTTTTTTTGAAAACAATTTTATTAGTTTTTAAAGACAAACAAAACAAACAAAATATAAAAACATCCAGCTTTCTTTCATAAATATACAAACAGTGTGTCGGTTGGTTTACCAGTTTTTGTGCATTCATTTCGTAGTCTCAATTACAGTTACATTACATAATAACTCATATTATCAATCAAAAATTATATACCCTAGTATCACTATTAAACAATCATTTGACTATAATTTTATTCATTCATACTTTGCGAGATAACTATAATTTACTTAATTTATTTTATAACAAATCATATAATCATACCAAATCTATCCTGAAGACATTTTATAAATGTGATATCAAATAAAAAAGAAAAAAAATCTCTTTATATATTCATTATTATCTAAAATTCTAAATATTCTATTATTGTATTTTATCATCCAACCATTGATAGAAAAGGTCCCAAATTTTATAAAATTGTTTATCCTCTTGTTCTCTAATTTCAAATGTCAATCTACTCATTTTAGCACATTCCAATATTTTCTTAATAATTTCTTCCTGCAATGGTATTTTCTCATTTTTCCAGTTTTTAGCAAATACAATCCTAGCCGCTGTTAATACATTTACAATCAGGTATTTCAAATCTTTATTATATGTATCAGGTAAGATTCCCAATAAAAAGATCTCTAGTTTCAAATCTGTGTTTCTTTGTCATTTTTTCCAACCACATGTGAATTTTAGTCCAGTATTTTCTAGCATCCTTGCAAGTACATCACATATGGTAATATGAGCCAGGTATCTGATGACATTTCCAGCATTTTTCAGATTTATTCTTGAACATTCTTGCTATCCTTGTCAGGGGAAAGTGCCACCTGTAAAACATCTTATACAAATTTTCTTTATATGCTGTTGACATAGTCATTTTATAATTTTGAGACCACAATTTTTGCCATTTCTCTAAATCAATCCCATATCCAAAATTCTTCCCCCAAGCAATCATAGTTTCTTTGACTTGTTCTTCCTCTAATTTAATTTCCAGTAAATAACCGTATAATTTTTTAATCACCTTTTCATCAGTACCTGTCAAGATCTTATCTAAATCAGTCAATTTATCATAAAATCCCTCTGTTTTAAAATCTTCATCATACCTTGAATGTATTTGCGCATATGAAAACCAATTCATCTTTATACCTTGTTCCTCTAAGTTTTGCATCGATTTAAGTTCACCCTTTTCATCCAGTATTTCCCCATATCTAACTGTTTGTTCCTTCTTATAAACTATAGGATAGGCAAATGCTTCAATGGTAGATAACCAAACTGGAATTTTCAAATAACATTGTCTTTTGATCTTCTCCCAATTTAACCACAAAGACTCCCATAGTTCCCTTATACCATAGAAAGGCATGCCAGCCCAACAACAAATCATGACCTTCTAATGTCAACAATCTAGTCTTTCTTAGTGTTATCCATTCCTTGGCCCACATCAGATTTGCAGCTTGATAATAGAACTCCCAATCAGGCAAACCAAAACCTCCTCTAATTCTGGCATCTTGTAGAAGTTTTAACTTTATTCTCGCTTTCTTACCTTGCCATATGTACTTCAACACAATTTTATTTAAATCTTCAAAATAGTCTTTTCCAAGCCTGATTGGTATTGTTTGAAACAAGTATAAGATTCTGGGTAGGATATTCACTTTGATTGTTGAGATTCTCCCTATTAGTGATAGTTGTAGATTTTCCCATTTCTTCAAGTCTAACGTTATCTGTTGTTTAATATAATTGTTCTCTTTTAATGTACTGCACCTTGGTGTCAAGTATATCCCCAAATACTTGACCTTGTTGGTGACTTGAATTTTCAATAGGTCTGCCAGTTTTTCTCTTTGTCTTAGTAACATATTCTTTGTCAAAATCTTTGTTTTATCTTTATTTATTTTCAAACCAGCCACCTCACCATATATCTCTATCTTTTCCAATAATTTTGGAGCTGTTTCTAAAGGGTCTTCCAAAATAAAGGCCAGATCATCCGCAAAGGCTTGCAATTTAAATTCTTCCTTTTTAATTTTCATTCCTTTTATGCTTTTATCATCTCTAATATTTCTATTCAACACTTCCAAAGTCAATACAAATAGCAAAGGTGATAGTAGGCACCCTTGTCTTGTACCTTTTCTTATATTAATAGAATCTGTGAATTCTCCCTCTATCATTACCTTTGCTGTTTGCTTATGGTATATGGCTTCTATTGCTTGGATAAATTTTCTGGCAAAACCCATCTGTTCCAATAATAGTAACATAAATCTCCAATTCACATTATCAAATGCCTTTTGGGCATCTAAGAATATCAAAGCCATTTGTTTTTTGGGATGTGCCTCATAATATTCCAAAGTGTCCAGGATTACTCTCATATTGTCTTTGATTTGTCTCTTTGGCAGAAATCCATTTTGATCTGGATGAATAAAGCTATTTAAGTATTTTTAAGTCTTTCTGCCAAAATTGAAGCAAAGATTTTATAGTCTGCATTTAGTAAAGAAATAGGTCTATAATTCTTAATTTGCAATGGATCAGCCTCTTCTTTTGGAATAAGTGTAATATAAGCTTCTGACCATGTTTTAGGTATCATCTTCTTTAACATAGCTTCATTCATGACTTCTAGCAGTGGAATGCTCAATGATTCTTGTAGTGTTTTATAAAATTCTGCCGGAAGCCCATCTGGACCTGGTGCTTTCCCATTATTTTGCTTCTTAAGTGCTTCAGTTAATTCCATGATTGTTATATTACTTTCTAACATTTTTTCAGTCTCTTTAGGTATCTTAGGTAGATTAGCATTCTGTAGATACTGTTTGACTTTTTCCTCATCAATATTCTCTTGCTTATATAGTTGCCCATAAAAATCTTGAATAATTTCCTTTTTCTCTTTATTACCATAGCAAACCTGGCCTTGATCATCTATTAATTGTGATATTTTCCTTGATTCTTTCTCCTTTCTCAATCTGTATGCTAACCATCTACCTGGTTTATTTGCATCTTCAAAATAGTTCTGTTTAGCACTTCTAATTTTCTGTGCCAATTCTTCTTTCTCTATTTGGCCCATTTTATGTTTGATTAAGTCCAATTTTAGTTTAATGTCTTTTTTCTGTGGCATTTTCTGTAGTTCTTTTTCAAGTCTTTTATACTCATCTTCTAAAACTTTAGTGGCTTGCCTTTTCCTGATAATTCTTTTTTCTTATATAGTCTATTATCAAGCCTCTAGCATATGCCTTCATTGTGTCCCAGACTTTCTGAATTGAAGTATCTTCATTTTTATTTTCTCTAAAGAAAAAGGCCAATTCTTTCTCCATCCATTGTGTAAAATCTTTTTCCTTTAAAATAGTATTATTTAACGTACATCTCGATCTTTTTTTTTGTCCTTTCCATTTAATTGTCATTGGATTATGGTCTGCCCAAGTACTTGTTTCAATGTTTGTTTCTTGAATGTTAGATATTAGTTCTGTTGAGATCCATATCATATCTAATCTGGACCATGATAAATGTCTATTTGAATAAAAAGTATATTGCTTGGTTTTAGCATTTCTTTCTCTCCATATATTTTTTAAATTTAATTCATCTGTCATTTTAAAAAAAGATTTAGGGAGAGTCTTTCTGTTTTGCTTTGTTATTGTTGCTGTATAGTCCAGTTTATTGTCCACAATTCCATTAAAATCTCCCATCATAACTATATTGACATAGTCCAGTCCAATTATTTTCATGTGTAATTTTTTGTAGAATTCTTCTTGTTTGTCATTTGGAGCATAAATTGCAATCAAGAGTATTTTCATATTATTATCCATTATTTCCACCATTAATACTCTTCCATCTTCATCAGTATAAATCAATTTTGCTGGGATAGCCTCTTTGATGTATAAAACCACTCCTCTTTTCTTACATTGCGTCAAAGAAGTAAATATTTTCCCTAATTTTGGCTGTACCAACAATTGTTCATATTGTTTTTTGATATGTACTTCTTGTAAGCAAATTATATCAAATTTTAATTTCTCTAATTTGTGAAAAAATTTCCTTCTTTTAACAGCTGAATTAAGTCCATTTATATTCATTGTAATCAGTTTTTTCTCTTCCATGGTTATATCTTGTAATTAGGTTTGGCAGCTCTCGTAGATCTTGGTTCACGTTGTTCTTTGATCTCCACCTGTCCACCTACTGCACCTTCCTCTTTTTCAGTCCCCATTTGGTCCTCTTGGAATTCAATTAGTGAGACCTCTTTTTCTGCCTCTTCCTCTCTCCTTCCGAAAAATTCTGCGTAGAAAGGTTCTGCTTTCTCAATTGAGTCAATTCTATGTCTCTGTTCTTGCCATGTAAACATTAGTCCTTCTGGAATCAACCATCTGTAATTCACCTCCTTTTTCAGTAACATTTTAGTCAGGAATCGATATTCTCTTCTGAGCTCTCTCACTCTTCTAGGTATTTGTTTTAAAACCACAATCTCCTTGCCTTTATATTTCAACGTCTTCTCTCTTGCCACTTGTAATATTTGTGTTTTAATGGATTTTTTTGTAAATCTGATGTGAACTTCTCTTGGTAAGTTGTTTCTCATCGCATAACT